TCGAAGTGATGCCTATGTGCGTGTCCGTGTGTGTGGATGTGTACAGAGCTGCATACCACACCTGTTGTCAGATTTTGATTAAATTTGGTATGTGGGTAATAATCCATGGTATCTCTAGGTGTCTTTTTTTAATTTTTTCGACGTTTTTATTTGTAATGGTAATTTTCCCATAAAAACCCATGAAATTACGGAAAAATTTAATTTTCTCAAAAATGGTTAAAAGATTTTGATAAAATTGAAGTATTTACATTCCTTTAAATTCTGAACAAACTGGTACATATCCTATTTCCGTAAAACTTACTGTTCCAAAGTTATTGTCACTTATGTTATTTTCCCATAAAACCCCCATCAAATAAAGAAAAATCTTCTTTTTTTATATAAAAAACCTTTCTCGATTAAAATTAGTATGTTATGGCCCTTTAAGTTTTTAACAAAATGGTACGAATCCAATTTCCGTAAAAATTATGGTTCAAAAGTTATTGTAACTTATTTTTCCATAAAAACCCCCAAAAAATTTGATTTTAGGAAAAAGCCGGCTTTTATTAAAACTTATGCGTTATGGTCCTTACAGTTCTAAACAAGATAGTGCAACCATTGCTGTAACAATTACGATCCAAAAGTTATTGCAACTTTTGTTAGTTTTCCTTAAAAACATCATAGTTACTCCCACCGCTTACCCACGATAAAGGTTGTTGACAAGCTTATGGGAGAAAGTATGTGACAGATTGCCGATACCGTTTATTTATTTTACTACTGGTTAAAACTTTTTCAGCTTTTGCTGCCTAGTGCTAGATTTGACTACTATTCTAAAAAAAGGCCTAATTACCTCTTAACTAAAGACGGTATCCAATTAAAAATTTCAAAACGTTACAAAATTTATGTTAAACTAATCTGAGATTGATGAAACTGGTTATTTTAATCAAGATATGTACATTTCAATTTAGTATAGTTGACATTTCAAAGTCTTGGAAGAAATAATGGCTTATGACTTTTCACTTACAACATGTCCGTTATTTTACGTCGAATAACAAAATAATTATAATATATTTAACATATCATAGTCATATATTTTTTTAATTTCGTGTTTTTCATTAAATAGAAATTTATTACATCTTATATTATTGTTATTATTTTTGTTGTTAGCAAGTTGATTATTTGAATATTGTTAGTTTTTATTTCTAGCCTCATGCTTCATATTTTTACTATATACTATTCATAAATTACTTGTATAATTTGTTACAAGTAAATAATTAATAATCATGTAAATACGTGATACATGAATTTTAACGAATGCAGTTTTTGGTCTCTAGGGATCTTAAAACTAAAAAGTAAATAGGTCCCGGGTCCAGGTTTTACCAAAAGTACCACGGTAGCATATTATTGCTTATAGCATTATAGCTTATCCCCTATATGGGCAATTTGTTAAAACATGATTTTTTGTTGCAATTTAATGTCAGGGTAACCGAATAGTGCTCGCCTTTAAATTTGAAGGTCGCTGGTTCGAATCCAAGCGGGATCGTTTCCAATCCCAGAAGCCATTTGTCATTGAATTTGGAATTATTTATGCTATCTAACAAAATTGTCGACGTTAGAAGTAACAATACCAGGGTTTTGACCGTTCCCTTTCAAAACGTAAAAAATGCCACTGGCGTAAAACCAAATCAAATCCACGTTCTCAGGTGAACCCCTTAATCAAACATCAAACCCCCGCCACGCGTCAGGTGCAGAGGTGTAGGCCTACACTTGCCGCCTCTGATCGGCTTATAGGATATACTTGTCGGAACCTAGGGGAGGAACTCTTCCCACACCCTGGGTGTCCTGGGCGCGTGTCCTCACAGTCCAGTGACTACCCTCGTCACCCACCCTTCACACCCAGGGGCCCTCGAGGAAGTAACACCTCCGGGAGTCGTCGGCTGATCTGCTGATGTTTAAGATGTTCAATTGTTTAAACTGTACCTACAAAAATAAATAGACCGATGGTTTATTATTTCTCAACGGCTGTAATTTTCAATTAATTAAAAAAAAACTGCCGTTTGAATCATCGATCACATAAGACCAATTGGTCTTATGTGATCGTTGGTTTGAAACAGATCTGGAGTGTGTTCCTCGTGGTACTGTGAAGTTTACGAAACTAAGAAAATCAAGTTAGAATATGTTTTTTTTTATTTCTCATTCGTTCCCAAAGCCCGAAACCAATATGGACGATTTGACAAACAAGAGTTACAATAGCCTAATTTATAAATAAAAAACTTTTTTTAAACAAAACGTATTTAAATGCACTAAAAAGTAGAAAATAATTTATAAATATGTGGAGAGTATAAATACTTGTAAGATTTAAAACGAAAAACGTGGGGTGCATGCAATAGATAATTTACAATTACCTTCACCTATTGAACTAATGTAATTGCATGCACCCCACGTTTTTCGTTTTAAATCTTACAAGTATTTACACTCTCCACATATTTATAAATTATGTTCTACTTTATAGTGCATTTAAATACGATTTGTTTAAAAAAAGTTTTTTATTTATAAATTATTTTCTACTTTTTAGTTTGTTATGTGTGTGGATGTTAAATCTATTTCATGCATCTATATCAGATTAAGACAGAGGCATGTGGGAAATCTAAGGTTTATTTGAGTTTCTTTTCATATAATTATGTATTAGATTGAATTTACGGCCTACCTACTACAGTAACTATAAATATATCAATCTATTTAATTTATTATTTATTTTATAGAATACTAAATAAATAACAAATGATATTATTAACAAACACCTTTATATCTGCAATCAGGTTCTTTATCTTTATTTTGAAATGTTTGTTTGTATAAAGAATCTCTTGAGAGCAGAACCTGTACCTCTTAACCTCTGCTTTTTGAACTGTCAAATTTAAGTATTTACAGCTGACTTTAATTAATTGATATATTTACATTCTTTCAAAATGTAAACATGGAAAATTTGGAAGCCAGTGGGACGTAGCCCAAGGGAAATATGAAAATTAAATGATATAATATTGCATTGTCTTCCATTTGTAACCTATGTTTCAAGTTTCAAGTCTCTAGCTCATCGGGAAGTTAGTATAAAATTGATTGCAAAATTTGTACCGGACAAGAAAGCGAGCTAATAAAAACGTTTTAAAATGCCTACAAATTACGAAGACTAGCGCGATACACAAGGGGTATAAATATAAAGATATAGATCCAAGTTCGTACAAACGGTATGCTGACCGATGTGCTGACCTCCCGTCTTTTTTGATTTTGGATCTATGCCCTTCTTCAAAGAACACCTGTAAAAAATTAAATTCATTTGTCAATACGCCACAACCTAAATCTCAGGAGAGATTTTGACGTACTTATTCAAATATTCCGTACCATTATCCATAAAAACCTTACCATAATCCACATACACCTATACATCTCTTCTTTTCACCTTGATTCCATGAAAGCTGAAAACGTTTTTACAAATTTAAGCATCGGTTGAGGAAATATTTAGTTGACAAAAATACTATATGATTTACTACTTAGTGTTTCATAATTAATTTTGTTTTCAAATGTAAATAGTTTATTTTCTTCTAAAAGTTGATTTATTTTTCTTCTTTATTTTTAACCAGTCTATATCTTATTATTATATGGTTATGTTTAGTATTATAGTGAACTTTACTCTGTAGTGTACTTGTCTGTTTTTATTCTGATTACGGAGGCTTCATAACCTGAGACAAATCCTATTTAGCAGATTATATCCCAACCTAGTATTAATAGTATATCCTAGTATTAATAGCCTATCAACATGATTTCCAAACCGTAAGTCGTGTGAGAAAAGATCACCTCTATAACTTTTCTTATGGTTGATGGTTTCGCAACACTATATACTAAAAAAAAAAAAAATACCAAAATAAGGAAGGATTAAAAGAACGATAATATGTTATAACTGGGCATTTACTGAGGGTTATCTCCACTTTATTAATCGATACACCTTTCCATAACGACAGGTTCATCTGTAGTAGTTGTGAAAATTTGTTTTCAGAAGATATACCTCACTGATCATCGGCGAACATGAGGGGACCTACATTATCATGGAAAAGAAGATCTTTGATCAATATATTGAAAAGATACGGTCCCTGACGTGAACCCTGTGGAACACCAAACTTCTTATGCAAAATGCCTGGACATAGGGTGCCTATCTTGATAGGTAAGTAACTTTTGGTAGTCTTGAATTTAACTGACCATGGATTTAAGAATGTATACCCCATAAGTTTATATATGAGAATGTTGTGGTCCACTTTGTATAGCTGCAATGCTTTGACAATAGCGGGGCAATCCGACTTATATTAACTTACTTTATCGAAATTTGAATTGTGTGTCGGACAAATAATGTTTGTAAAACCTAGTTTTAATAATTTAACAGGTCAAGAGTTAGAAATGAAAACGAATTTTAACACGGAAAGGCTAAGTTATAACTTTGACTAAGAAATTGCCCGAACAATTAAAATTTCTAACCACCTTTTGAATTACCTTTTTTTTTGTAAACAATTTGTCTGTAATATGTTTAAGTGGTAGCTATAAAAGTGACGACCTTGTAATTCCCTCATCGCTTCGCCATAACCGAACCATTATCCTCAGAATTGCCGGGAACGATCCCTAATTTCTTGACGAGAGACAAACCGCCTTATTATAAAGCGAAATTGCCTCTCGGTTATAAAGTTTAGAGTGTCAGCATTCGAGATGCTTTCGACACCCTGTAGACATGAGCGGGGCAAAAAGACGTCCGTCTCGTCCGGAGGCGTGGCTGCGAATGGGCGGGGCTGCGCTGCGATTGGTCGGTGTTTTCAACCAATAGGAGTGACGGATTCAGCGGAATCGTGTGAAGTCGGATTCGTTCGGGTGTTGTCGCGCCCGAAAGGCCGGCATCTTCTGTGCTGGACCAGTCTTTGCTGACTTGCGTGGACGCGAGCACGCCCGTGTCCTGTGCGACGCGCTACTGAGTGTGTGGAGTGACATTCCCCGGGTGTACGACGGCCCTCGGATGTTCTAGGATCTAGGAGGAGCTCCAGCTGATCTATGATACAAGTCTCTTGTTTCGGACACTACAACATCACGCCGATAGGAATGAAGGTAGGGCAGAGCTTCTAGACCTTGTTGAAATGATATCATTAAATTCCATACGGTGGACGTTGTTGGAAAAAAAACTACTGTACAGTGAAACATGCTCAAAGATCTGTCAGAGATATACACGGTTCTTGTAGTATAATTACATTATTAATATGTAATTTCAAATTTTGTTGCGATTGAAGTGTTATAAATAAAAGTTTCTTCGTCCCAGAGAGAATTTACGGAGTGAGCTTATTCCACTGTTTATTTATGAGCTCTTCGATGGTAAATCATTACCACCAACTAAGAGTTAATTTCTGTTGTGATATATATTTTTGCAGCTTTGTTTGTAAATAAATTATTTAAGCTGTCTTTGGGGGGAACCGTATCCCTGTATTTTTAATCTCTTTGCAATCTGTTGAGATTCCTTTGCCATAGATACTTTAATTCATCAATAAAGTGCTCTGCCAGGCCCCGTTGGGTTTTACAAATACATATTCGCAGACTACTTACTACAATGTCAAAATTTATGAGATTTTTACTGGAGATTTGCTTATGCTAGGTCATCATTGCTAGGTGCAAAAGTGTTCGAGTATATTCGTAACAAAGTAGGGGTAAAGAATTTTTAGTCCGTGTGAGCACAGAAAACATACTACAGAAGTAAGTTTTCTGTGGTGTGAGGCACATTCAACTTTGCTATTATTTACGACTAAATTATGTATATTTATATGGGATTTATACTTAACATTGCTCTAGTATCTAGGTCAACGAATAAAAATATAAGAAAGTGGTCCTTCTTTTTGAGTTTTAACAATTGTGCAACAATTTTAAAATAATGGTTCTTCCCAACATTTTAGTTGGTTAATCAAAGTATCTTTTACAATTCATGCATTCAGAAGGGTAGATTTTATCATCCAATAAATGTAATTTTAACACATGAAAGGCACTCTTTTAAAAAATTATTAGGATCGTTTGAAAAGTTCAGAGATACGTTTAGACTTTTGCAACATTTATCCTTAGATAAGTTTTTCTATCATTATCTATTAGTCTCTCCGTTGGAGTATAAAATAGTACAGCCTTTAAGTGTAGTTAGTATTTTTAATTATCATTGTGCAGACAAATTGTGCAGACAAAAAACAAACATTAAACCAACAACAAACATTAAATCTCTTAAATTCTGTTAAAAAAGGATAATCCTCTGACCTAAACTATGAAAAATATATAAAAATAATCTATATAAACTATATATAATAATTGTACTTAAAAATTCAGTATTTTTATTGGATTCAGGATATAAAGTTTAGTCAGAATGAAATTAACCCACTGTACTGGATTCTATTCATACAAATGAAACATTTTTTTTACTATACTTTGACCTTTGCATAGGACGCTACGAGTTTCGAAAGGGCTAGTATATCGGTTTCTTGAAATATTTAATCCATTAATTATCATTTTATTACCTAACTTATTATCATTGACTTTATATCTACACGTATAGATAATCTACACGTGTAGATATAAAGTCAATGCTATTATATCTATTTAAATTTTAGAACTATTTAATATGAGAAATCTGTAGTATAAATCAAGCTCTTATAATTATTACCAATGCGCAACCTACCTTATTAATCTTTAGATAAAACTAAATTCACAACACATTTTATGTTAAATAATTGTTGTAAAACAATCTGCTATTCATCTATTACATTGTTTATTTGTAGAATACTAGTGGTCGTCCAGTGGTCGAAAACTCGACCAAAACTATATAACATACAGGCTTCTTTATTTTCACCACACGCTGTAAATAAAACACGTGATTGCAATTTCTTCCATTCGTTTTGATTTTCTGTTTATATTTTGTTGTTATTTCGTCACCAGCATGGCAACCCATATGAGCCATGTTATATATTTTTAATTTCAAATTCATTTTTTTTTATTAATATATAGATATGATTTAATTGGTGTAATGATAATATTGTAAACATAGTAACTTAAATGAAAATTGCAAAGTAAAAGTTTACTTGTAAAATATGTGGTACGTAAATTACGTATGTTTATGATATAATCTATAAATACTGTTGGCAGATTGGCTATACATTTTACCTGCCTTATAATATAATAAACAACTATAAAAATAGGTAAACCTAATAAATTAAAGTAAAATTTAAGGTTTTATGCTATATCTACTTATTTTATACGGTAGTAAATATTGAATCTTGATGTTTTAACACGATAAATTATGTGAGAATATGTATTAAACATCTTTATAAATAGGGAAGTTTCTATGAGCAAACAATTACAAAATTCACCAATCTTTTATGTAAAATAATCTTGTATGTAAATAATCTTTTATTAAGTTCTATTTTTAGTTAAATTTCATTTATGTATAAATTAGTACACAACCCTGTTTTGTCTATTGATAAAAACTATCAACTATAAAATATCTTACATAAAACAGAGACTAAATATTCAATTAGATTTGTATCATATTTTCAAAATAATTGTGTACGCCCTACAAACAGTTTTATAGCATCATAATTGTAATTTTTAAATGGCATAAACTTAAATGTGGTGTGTTATTTAAATATTCACATTAAAACGGATTTATATGGTATTAAATAGTATGATATTATACGGTTTATCTATCATGTTATGCATCGTTACATTTTTTTATTTTTAAATTAAACAATACATAAAAAATCAAATACATCATCATATTATTTCATTTTAAATAATATATTTTAAATACAAATTTAAGTAAGTAAAAACGATAGATTTTTTAATTTTATTTACTCTGAACCCTTTTTTAAGGTTATCTAATTATGATGTTGAACGAAAATAATAATATACCTTTCTGTTTTAAAACTAAATAACACTTCCATAGTCTCAATACTGAATCAATACGTATATGATAGGAAATTGACAAATTAGTAAATAATAGAATATTATATTTCAAAAATATTTCTACCAGGTTAAAAGTGTATAAAGAGAGTGTGTGTTTCTGATTATCATTGTCATCGTTGCCGATCTGATTTCGTCAGCATATGTCATAGTTCAACTTAAAGTTTGTTATTGACATCAATATCAGGAATAATTAGTGATTATGCAATGTATTTATAGTCAGGGAAATATTCTAACCATGGTAATAGCCTCGAATACTATAAATGTACCGGTATGGATCATAAACATAGACAAATGACGTTGTTGGCCCGAATCCTATACTAATAGCATTGAACATATGTTTTGGCCATTCCATTTAAGCAATGTTAAATCATGTTTATTTTCGGGACAAAAACGTCATTTGTTTATGTTTATGATCCATACCGGTATTTTTCTAGAATTCGTGGTAATAGCTGTACATTATTTCAAAATTAGTGTTACCGCGGTACAGATACAGTAAATAAAAGTGTTTTTAGATTTCCATGATGTTTTATAAATTAACCGACAAATTAATGGTTTGTTTAAAAAAATAGAGCAGGAAAATAACTTTATCTCAAAAACTAAAATAAATATATTTTAAATACACCATTGGTTATTCCAAAAGATAAAATTACACAAAATAACTTTAAATGTAAATATTTTGAGAGTATAATATTTTTTTTTATATAATAATATTATTTTTATCATTTAAATTTTGCCTCAGTATTTGGAGTTATAGGTTACGTAATTATATTTTCATTTTTCCTTATACTTTTAGTCTGTATTAATGATATGTACTGTGAATACAGATACTGTTTATTGTTTGATATACGTAATTATTATGTTTAATAAACAGATCGAAATGGAAACAAATTAATGTTAGCTTAGCTATCGTGCAGTAAAATAATAAATTTCTATCCACCGCCTACTTGTACCTAAATTTGAATAAATAATTATGAATAAATAAATATATGACTACCTTCCTAAATTTTGATCTTTCTTTAGGACCACTCTTACATAATTTACTAAAAACCCCTTTTTTACTATGCAGTAATATTATTAAAGACCAACTTACCCGTCGTGGCATCGCTCACCAATATTAAAAAGGTTAAATGTTCAACCAGAGTAGGGCCTACACTTATTTATGTTTTAATTCATTTAACTATTTAAAATCTGTTATGCAGTAAAAAAAACTTTTTCAAGCCAGAGCCCAGATGGAGTTTTTTTTAAACGCTTCTATGTTGTATAGAATTGTATTGCATGTGTTTATGTATCGCAAGTTGTTGAGCATTTTGTATTTGAGAAATGCAGCACAATATAATAGATTATTGTTAGGCAATATAGTACAGTTTTTTTGTTTCCATAGTAACCAAGCGTAATGAGTGTTCTCGGTAATAACCTAAAGCTGTAATCAAGTAATCTGACTACAGATTTTACTAAAATTTCACTATCATCATTTTACTATTATTTCACCTTCACATTCCAAAACACTAGGCTCCACTCCGGAACCGTTTATCAGCGAATTTTTCCTTTTAGGGAATAATCACACATTATCTCAGGCTAGTCCTAGATTAAATATGGCTAAAAATCATCGGTGATCGGCGGGATTTGAACCCGGGCCCCTCGGGGAGGCTTCAACTCTGTATGACGTTAGATCGGTCATCCCATCACACGGACGATGAGCCAAGAACATCTGATTTCTGATAACATGACGACTCCATCCAACCTCCATAGTCCAACCTACATCTGATAACATCCATTTTTCATCTGAGTCGCTGGTGACGGCGACGTAGAAAACAGGACAGTCATGATTGAACGTCGATGAACCTTAGGTTAACTTTCATGATCCGGTTTGAATCTTTGACGATTAGAAAGCACGTTTTATGGGCTAAAAATGCGTAATTTGGTATAAATTTTAACATTTGACATTATATATAAATTATCCTTAACGCTATTAGAAAATGTGTTTAGATCTCTCAAGTTTTCAGCATACACCTTGATTCCAAAACGTCTCTTTCCTAGGTGTTAATTTCATAGAATATGATTTAATTGTTTTCCCAGTGGAGATAATTAGAAAATTGGATTATTTAAGTTCCCTTCTTTAG